TTTTCCCCATGGCGCAAACGCTTCATCTTGACCGTGGTCACCATCGCAGGCTGCTTTGGTCCCCTCGCAGGCAACATCTATCTGCCAGCGTTGCCTGTGCTGGAGAATGAATTCAATGCCAGCGCAACAGCCATCAACGTGTCCGTGTCAGTCTTCATGCTGACGTTTGCCGTCGGTGTAAGTGCTTCAACCTTTCATGACATACCTCAGTAGGCTAACCAGATTAGCCCCTCTTCTGGTCAAGTTTTGCCGACTGGAAGGGTCGCAGGCCATTGTACATCATCTCCGTCGCCATCTACATTGTTGCCAACATTCTGCTTGCTGTAGTCCCGGCGAACTATGGAGCTTTGGTGTTCTTGCGCATTGTCCAGGCTTTTGGATCCGCCGCTGTGGTGTCGATGGGCGCTGGAACAGTTGCAGATGTTAGTACCTCATTTTCATTTTCGTTCTGTTCTCATGATTCTGACCGATTGCGCAGGTCACCGAACCAAAGAAACGTGCGACAGCAATGTCCATCTTTCTGATCGGTCCTCAACTGGGTCCCGTTTTGGGTCCCGTGCTTGGAGGTGCCCTCACTACCGCCTCTTGGCGCTGGATCTTTGGCTTCCTCGGTGAGTACAACAAGACTTGACTGCAGACAAACATCAACTCATCATGTTTTTCACAGCAATCTCGGGCTTTGTCCTCTGGCTTGTCATTATTTTCTCACTCCCAGAGACTCTCAGGGCAAGGGTGGGAAACGGAAAGCTGTACACCGAGTCCAACGTCGTCTTCCTTCCTCCAAGATTGTCCTCACCTCTGGCCCCTGAGTCAGAAAGAGGCCCAGCACCTCCCAAGCCAACTCTTCTCGGATATTGGAAGCTTTTCTCCTACCCTCCCATTGGCATTGTAACATTCAACACCGCCATGCTGTACTCGACATATTTCGCCATTGCTGTGCAGCTCCCCACCGAGCTTTCAGACCGTTACAACTGGTCCACCGCTGGCGTCGGCGCAGGTTTCCTGGCTGTCGGTGTCGCCATGATTGTTGGCTCTATGATCGGTGGTCGCGTGTCAGACTGGAGACGTGCGCGTGCCGTCAAGGCATCCCCGGACAATCATGTTGACCCCGAAAACAGATTGTCAGATCAGATCTGGGGCGTCTTGATCTGTGCCGGTGGATGTTTGATGTACGGCTGGCTTGTCGACAAGTCAATCCATCCTGCCGCTGTCCTTGTCGCAACATTTCTGAGTAAGTACCCCCTCAAAAGCTCCCAAAGTTTGCTCGATGATCTCGGGGCTGACGTTGTGCGACTATAGCTGGCTTCGGCATGAACTGGGTGTTTGTGGCCACAACAGCCTTTTTGACCGAGTGTGTCCAACAACAGGCCGCCGGCGCCTTCGCTCTCGGAAACATGCTCCGCAATCCCGGTGCTGCCATTGCAGCCCTCGTGATCCCATCTCTTGTTTCAAAGATGGGTAGCGGATGGTGTTTCACTGGTTTGGCGCTTCTTGACCTTGTCCTCGTTGGTTCAGCAGTAATTGGTGAGTCTTGTTGCAAAAACGAAGTATCCTACACAAGTCACTGACAAACTGTAGTCCTGCGGCTAAAGTCTCCAGGATGGAGAGCAGCACGAAAGGCCAGGATGGCTGCTATGGCAGCAGCAAAGCAGGGTGGTCCTAAATAATATCTAATGACGATTTACGACGGAAACTTTATGAAATGGATGAACAGCACAGCATAAGTAGACTTGGGATTTTGAGGTACTAGTCATTAAGACTCAATTTGTAGTATTTAATACAACACCATAGCGTCTTCATAAGTCAATCGATACGTGCTTATTGACCATTTTGGCGAGTAAATTTCACATCAAAGTCTTGAACTCATGGCGAATTTTATCTGGTGCAATTTCGCTTAACATTGGCTCAGTCACTTTCTCATACAAACATCTATGAATGTTTTTTTTTTTTTTTACATCGCTTGCAAAGTAGTTGCTTCTCTTAAAATAAAGTAGAGCAGGAGTTTACTTGAGCGACGTCATGACGCCAGCCAATTCAGCGGTTCAAATACGTGTTTATTCCTCTCAAAGCCTGTTTTGTAGCTAGACGGATTGCAGAACTAATATGGGCTGGAAAGAAAAAGAGAGGCATGAAAACTCCATTTATATGATTTTAGTTCGTAATATGCAGCTTTTCTGAAGTCAGCGATCATTTGGAAGGCGCGAAGTTACGTGAAATACAACCAAGAACTTTTGATATTACACTCCTCAGAACGTAATGATCCGTGGAAAGATCACACTACAGCGAAGGATGTACATATGACAGAAAGCTCTTATCAGAATGGCGAGAGGAATTCAAAATATGTTTTCCAGAAGGATCTGCTCTATGACATTAGATATATATATGTATATATATATATATATATATATTGGATCATTGCACGTATGGCCAGAGTTGACAGTAACTCTTCGGGGGTATGACTGCGGCATGATGTGGTAGTGGAAGATAAAGGTTCTGAAAAGCGAGAGGAAAGTCAAATACGCATGTCTTATTTGTGTCGGTGTTTTTCTGTACGTTTTACGTGTGGGCATACTTGTAAATTGAGGAGCTAAGAGTAACTGACCGGCCTTGGGCTTGAGTTCCTTAGGTTCTGACAATCCGCAATATTGCGAGGTCAGAACTACGCCGCATAAGTTTGGAGACTTTGACGCATGTTCAAATGCAGTCGAAAAACGTAAGCCATCAGGCAATCGTCAAAGTAGTTCTTAATGTCAAGATGACTCGTAAGACGGCTGCTAGTTATCTGGGACTCGGAAAGTCATTGAATTTTACAACCCCGCCGTAAGCTTCTCGAGAGAATTCAAACAACCATGCCATCACATGACATCTTTGGGATGAAGCTTATCAATTACTAGACTTACACTCACCTCCAGACTCGTACAGACTGAATTACACCGTTATCCGAATTCGCCTCAAACCTCCCGAAGTCACCTGACCCGAAATACCTGACTGCTCACATTCCAAGTCTCAGACAAACGACCCGACGTTACACACGAACGACATAACCGCCTACGCACCCCGGCCGCCCAGACATTCACCTCCCAAAGAACCACCGAGAAGCGCGCCGGTGGACAGCAGAGAGGTCAGCAGACCGACCCAGACCGAAACCCAACCAACCAACCAAACCCAAAACCCAGCCTGCCGTCGATACCATCCAAGATTACGACCCTGCGAGAAGACATACCGAACATGAAGCAAGCTAGTCTCAGTTGAACCCACGAAAACACGGTTTCTAAATCCGTCCACTCTCTCTCCCAGCCCCATATTTTCTCCCATCGCACGACATTAGCCACCCCCGGGCCCCAGGAACGCTTCGCTCTTGTCTTCACCAAACCTGCAAGACACACTCACGCGAGAGAGGGGGACAGAAAAAAAAGCAAAGAACGGAGGCCTTGCAGCCTCGTCAAAATGCCCATATCGAGCAATCCTTACGAGAAATGTCCTGCCATGTATGTGGGGGTCACACAGATACGTGCGTATCTCAACCCAAATCTGGTCTTCTAGAACGTCTTCCCGCATCTCTTTCGTTCGTTCGTTCCTCCCACGGGCGGGGTGGCGGCGGTGCAGGTGATGGTGGTGGTAATCACTGGCATCGCGGCTCGCTGACTGGGCGAAGCCGCAGATGGCCCCCCCTTTGCCGTATTTGCTTTTTCCTGCAGCCCCGGCGGAAGGACGGAAGATGCGCGGTGCAGGACAACAGCGCAAAAAAAGGTGCATGCCCAATCTGCGCAATTCACCAATGGGCGCCTGCAAGCCTCTCTCTCGTTCAATCGGTTCGCGTATGCAAGCCATCGATCACCCGTCACGGTTACGTCTTCCCACATCCTTCTCCTTCTTCACCGCCTCGACTCCCGGATATTTGGGGTGGCAGCCTTTTTGCCCGCCTCAACAGACGCATCCCAAGGCGAGAGGGCTTAGACTAAAAGGCTTGGTTGACGAAACGGAAAGGCTTCACTTTGCAGCATGCGAGAAGAGGCGCCACAGAGCACCTCATTTCCTGTTACGGTTTACGTACGTCTACTTAGGTGCATATGTACAAGACGTGTCGGACGCTGATCCGAGATCCCACTTCCCATCCATCTGTCTCGGCCGCAAGGTGAACCCATTGGCTGCGAACTGCTGTCGACCGCCCTGCAGAGCGCCAAAAACTTGGTTATCAACAGAAGGGCTTGCCAGCCTGGACACTGTAGCAAGGGGAAGCGCTTTGGGTAGGGCGACGGGCATGCGACTTTGACAGGCTTCCCGGATGTCCATCCCGCGCCGCACCGCGCATCACAATCCGGCGATGCATGGTAGTAGCCCTGCGAAAGAGGTCTTTGTTGTCTGGGATGACGATCAGGGAAGGCCGGGGCGACCGGGACGACCAGGGGAGGGAAGCAAGGGGAACACGAGGGGTGAAGAGCTGCCGCCACGATGCGGCCACGAGACAGCAGGGCATGGCGGCAAGCAAGGTGGTTGTGGTTGCGCACTTGCAGGGCCGCGGGGGACCAGGGTGATTAACTCCCGGGGACGTTTCATCGCACCAGCGGCGGCGACGACATGATGGGAGAGCAAGGCGCGGGATGTGGTGTATTTGTAAAGGAGGAGCGAGACCAACGGCGGAAGCATGACTTGCGTCTCCCCGTTGCCAAGTTGCCGGGGGAGAGCCGGGGCCAGCCGGCGGACTGGGGACGCCGGGATGGCGGTTACGGCCGCAGACTAACGTATGCAGTCCCCCATGGAATGGCGATGCGGCTGCAAGAAGGGAGAGAGACCGGGGAGGGCGTCTGGGTTTCAACGTCGTTCTATCGTCCGTGCCGTGCGGCCGGGGATGCATCTTGCTACTTCCCAGTCCCCAGTCGTCAACCCCAGTCCGCAGCACTCAGGGACCCAGACGTACGGCCGTTGCGATTGCAGGGCCCCCTCATATCGAGCTTTGAAGGACTTCATTGGCTCGATCATCGCTCACGCCCCCTTCTGCTCTAACCTCCATGAAGTGTCGAGACGAACAGAATATTGTCACCGCTCTGAACTTCATACGCCTCCTCTCCCTCCAGCTCCCAGTCTGCGTCATTGATGAGAGCCAGGATGCCCGGCCGGCTAGAAAAGACCGCGTTAGCGTTGCACCCGATTCGCATGAGGCATAAGATATGGGGTTTGGTGATAGCCGGGAAGGGGTGGCGATGCGTCTGCGCATCTTGCATGGCTTCCCCCTGGCGTTGGGGTGTGAATATGAAGTTGAAAGACAGCGATTAGATTGAAGATGATGTACGAGAACGCAGGAGATGCTGAAGGATGGAGACCCGGGGATGTGATGAGACTCTGGGACGTACAGATGACCATCGAGGACGAAAAGCTCCTTCCTGGTGTCCTTCATAGTGTTCTCGCATAGATAGTCAATCAGAAAGGCAATGTTTGCGGGCTTGCCGTCCTTGTTCACCGCCGGGATGGAGAGCGAGTGACGCCGCTCGTCGGAGAAGAGCATCTCCAGGCCGCCGCTGCAGGGAGCTTGTCAGTGATGCATTCGTACCTGAGCAGCATGCACGCGCGATTCCAGATGAGGTCCGTATCCGAGTCATCCTCGTGGCAAGGTCTCAGGCAGAAATGTCCACGAGGAAGAAACGGTTTCTGGAAGAGTGCAGCGTTATGGAAGGACGGGCACGGGAGAGGGACGGGACGCACGAGAACTCCACGACCAGGCTGATCTTCTTCTCCTCCCCCGCATCTGCAGCGTTGGTCGCCATTTCTTCTTCCTCGGACTTTGGTAATATGTGACGGTCAAAAATGCCGGCACGCAGGCGACGTCGGAGAATAGATGAGGAATATGAGATGTAATCACAATAGAGTTTTGTTTGCCCTTCAGGCACGGACGATGTACGAAGGATGAACTGGGTGCAGTTGTTGGTTTGGTAGGGGTTTTTTCAGACGGGGGCCGGACGGGATCAGGTACAGGGCAGTCATTCCAGCGGCAGCAGACCTCGACTGCTGACTGCTGCTCGGCGTCAGTGGAGCCAACGGTGCGGCGGCGCCGCCACCACCTACCGGGCGGCTGCCACCCCTCACTCACTTCACACTAACAGCTCTGGGTAGGTCGCTGTAGCGTAGCGCGCTGTAAGCTCAGGGCGCCGCCGTGAACCCCCCGCCCCCACCACGAAAATTTCAACTTCACCTCTTGACTCTCGCTCGTGAGCCAATCACAACGTCGTATTTGGTCAACCCAAAGACTCACTCGCCTGCCCTGCACAATAAGACGGCGGGACAGACAAGATGGCTACTATTCAACCATCCGTCGAGTACCTGTCTACGGGAGCGAACAGACAGACTGCTGCCGCTGACTGGAGTCCATGTGGTCTGCTCGCCTTCGGTGCTGACTCCAATATAGCCCTGTGGGCGCCTTCTGTACGCTGTATTGTCCCCCTGTCTGAGAGCCTCTTGACTGATAAAGAACTAGTCTGAAAATGCAGAGGGTATCACGACCCTTCTGAGTGGGCATAAAGAGGTTGTGAAAGCAGTCAAGTTCCTTCCTCAAGCAGAGGGCGAGGACCGCAGGCTCATTATCAGTGGTTCCGATGACCAAACACTGAAGATCTGGGCTCTGGACCCCAAGAATAACCAAGGAGAATGCATTCAAACGATACAAGAGCACACTGCGCCTGTAAACTGCATTGCAATCTTGAAGTCCAGAAGCACACCTAAGAAAGTTCTCCTGGCTTCAGGGGCTGCTGATGCAACCATTAAGATCTGGGAGTTCACCTCAGGCCAACTACAGCTCCACCAGACCATCAAGTCCGCGCCGAGATATTTCCCGTTATGCCTGGCGCTGACGGCCTTGGATGAAGCTGAGGACGTCTTTGTTCTGGCAGCTGCTGGGACCAAGACCTTCATCCAGATTTTCGTGGCTATCGCCGGCGAAGACACCATCAACTTCCAACTGCAAGCAACGCTGTCTGGTCACGAGGGCTGGATGCGGTCTTTGGATTTCACATGGGAAACCTCTGGTCCAAACAGCGATATCCTGCTAGCCTCAGCAAGCCAGGACAAGTACGTCAGGCTCTGGCGCCTCCACCAGGGCAAAGAGCTTCCCTCCCTCGCAGTGGAGGGTTCAGACCCTTCCAGCGGTGCCTACCTCCCTGGCAGATCACCATCTAACAAAGCCCACCGCCTACAGTCTGGCGGCAAAGATTTCTCCATCACCTTCGAAGCGCTTCTTCTAGGTCACGAAGATTGGATCTACAGCGCGAGATGGTTCACCCGCGACTCCAAGCTCCAACTCCTCTCTGTCTCCGCAGACAACTCCCTCGCCATGTGGGAGGCTGATGCCACCTCTGGCATTTGGGTCAGCATGGTTCGTCTTGGTGAGATCAGCAGAGAGAAGGGTGCGACGACGGCGACAGGCAGCATCGGCGGCTTCTGGACGGGTCTCTGGGGTCCGGATGGCAAGTCTGTTGTCTGTCTCGGCCGCACGGGCAGCTGGAGACGTTGGGTGTACCGCGAAGAGCGTGATGAGTGGCAGCCCGCAATCGCTATCACCGGCCATACGAAGAACATCACGGGCATCGCTTGGTCGCGGGACGGAGACTACCTCATGTCCACGAGCTCCGACCAGACGACTCGCCTACATGCGCGCTGGAAGAGAGATGCTGCTGTCGGGCGTTCATGGCACGAGATGTCCCGGCCACAGATTCATGGCTACGACCTCAACTGTATCGATACTCTGGGCAGCTCCCAGTTCGTGTCCGGCGCGGATGAGAAGCTCATGCGTGTTTTCAGTGAGCCCCGCGCTGTGGCACAGATGCTGCAGACTCTTGGTGGTATCGAGACGGCGACAGAGTCGATGCCGGACGGCGCGAATATGCCTGTCCTTGGCCTCTCCAACAAGGCCATTGATGCGGTTGACGACGACGTGGAGGTTGAGGCTGACAGCCACTACGACCGTGACGCTATCGACCCGGCCACAATCGTCCGCAAATCGATGCTCGACATCGATCACCCACCCTTCGAAGAGTCTCTCTCTCGCCACACTCTCTGGCCCGAGACGGAGAAGCTGTACGGCCACGGCTACGAGATCTCGTGTCTGGCAGCCAGCCACGACGGCAAGCTGATTGCTAGCGCCTGCAAAGCGAGCTCGCTCAACCACGCCGTCATCCGCATCTTTGAGACGGACCGTTGGACAGAGGTCAAGCCGCCACTGGCTGCGCACACTCTCACAGCCACCAGGCTTCGTTTCTCTCCTGACGACCGCTTTCTGCTTAGTGTCGGACGTGACAGGCAATGGGCTGTCTTCCAACGGGATGAGCAGGAATCTTCCAAGTACGAGCTTCTCCAGACAAATCCGAAGGGTCATACACGTATGATTCTGGATGCCGCCTGGGCTCCAACGACGGACGCTAGAGTGTTTGTCACAGCCGGACGTGATAAGAAGGCCAACATTTGGGTTAGCAAAACCCAAGAGGGCGGCAAGACGGAGTTCACGCTCGCGTCCAGCATCGCCTTCGACGGCCCCGTCACAGCTGTCGATTTCCGCGGCAGACCAACCCAAGGAGGCGAGCTGATCCTTGCCGTTGGCACAGAGTCAGGCAAGATTTCCATCTGTACCTTGGCCCCTGAGACCTTCCAATCGACCGCAACTCTCCAATTGGCACCGCAGTAAGTTTCCCCTATACACGAATGCCTCTCATCATCCACCTAATTTTGTTTAGGTTCTGCCTTCCCAAGTCAGTCGCCCAGCTCTCATGGCGTCCGTCAAAGAGTCCAGATGCCGGACACGAACTGGCCATCGCGGGCGAAGACAGCTCCCTGAGGATATACAGCTTCACCAGCCTTGGCGCACCAAACCCAACAAACGAATGAATCCAACTCCCTCGCAAGGAGAGACACTTTTCCATTGAGGTCTATGTATGAGGGTATGATTAAGCATGCGTCGTCGCATGCACGAGTTTTATATTAGTGTCTGTCGCCCAACCGGTCCGCATAACCAAAACCAATAACGCCTGCACGTATCACGCACGCCACAGCCAGCCCCACGCCGATACGCCCTTCGAGCTCTTCATCAGACGTCCAGCAGTGCCGCTATTATTACTCTGCTTCCCCTTCTTTCTCATCCATCACTTCGTCATTCCCGTATTCGACGTCATGCCATGATTACTCGTGGGAGGCAAGGAACAAAAAGCCCGATTACAGCTCCTTGACAATCTCAACCGTCTCCTTGGCGAGCGCAGCGGCCGCTGTCGTGGTCGACTCGGACATCAAGCTCTCGACCGCGGCCTTGGTGACCTCCACCGCAGCGACGACCGCATCGATCGGGTCGCCATGCATGTAGAACCACGCGCGGTTCAGGATGAAGGCGATGTGCTGAGGGAGGTACAAGATGGTCGCGATAATGGTCAGACTGCTGAGGAGGAAGAGGAAGGTGTCTGTCGCGCGTAAAGTTTTGGTTAGCCAACCCGGATCGTTCGGTATGAAATGACACCATGGATTTTAGGGACAAAAAGGGGTAGACGGCCGAGACCGAATAGACCATAGAAACGTACAGAAAATGAACTTCTCAAGAGGCGTGAAGATGTACACGCTGAAGGTGACCTCGATTTGGTACTGCTTCAGGTGCAGCCACTTGCTGAAGGACTGGAGGGCCGACATGGTGATCTCGTCAAAGGTTTCGTTTCGTGTCTTGCGCTCGGATGGTCGGTTTTCGACAGTGGCGTCGTATAGAACTCGAATGTGTGTGCGCCGAATGTTCCTCGAAGAAAACAAGTCACCCAAGTCTAGAAGAACAGAAACCCGTCTCGACGCCGTGGACCGAGCAAAGTCGTGTTGAGTCGTGGATTACGTGCGGTAGGTGGTTTAGGAGGTTCAGCGGAACATCGGTCGCGGCGGGAGGGAGGTCACCAAATCTTATCAGTAAATTGGCCTTGGACCGGGCCCACGCGACAAACACTCAGCGCACCGACCGACCGATCCGCATCAGAAAAAAAAAAGAACAGCCTCACTCACGCTGGAACCCACACCGCCAGCGAACCAAAAGCGGGGACCACTCTAAAGAAGGCCGATCCGCCACCCTTTCGAAATGAATAACCTACCACTCTGATTGGCCAGCCTCCCTCCGGGTGCACCATCTTGCGGAAGCAGCCGGCCGGCAGCTGGCATGTCGAAGCTCTCATCATCGGAAGGCCAAGCCCAGTATCGCTCGCCTCGCGCAACGACGCTTCTCGAAACCTCATCCCAACCCACGGACAATGGCCCGGCGCAGACGATGCCTCCCGCTCTACCTCTGACCCGTCTACTCGCCCCCGTGTTCTCCACATCGCGCAATGCCAGCTCGAGCGTCTTCATGCGCGGCGGCAGCTGGGGCGGGAGAAGCTTCCCTGCCGTGAGGACCGCTCCCGTCGCACGCTTCAGCGCATCCCCCGCCGCGGCGCTGAAGAAGCACGAGATGCCACCCCGGCCCAAGCCCCCTCCAGACTCGGATATCGAGGAGTCCTACCTCAAGGGCAGCGGGCCGGGCGGACAGAAAATTGTACGTCTGATAATCAAAAGCAAACCTTCCTCGTGAACCCATGATTCGGGCGGTTCAAGGGTGCACGACACCGAACTGACGAACGCACCCCGTACAGAACAAGACAAGCTCGGCCGTGCAACTCAAACACATACCCACCGGAATCGTCGTCAAGTCCCAGGCCACTCGATCCCGGTCCCAGAACCGCAAAATTGCCCGCGAGCTTCTAGCGCAGAAGCTCGACGACCTCCAGAATGGAGACCAGAG